TAAAATTAGCAATTAATTATTTAATACGTTTGCCAGTAAGCGGCCCGGGTCATTATGTAAAAGGCGCTTTTGATAATAAATTTAGCAATTAATTATTAAATACATTTGCCAGTAAGCGCCCCGAGTTATTGGATGAAAGGCGCTTTTGTTATTAAATTCAACAATTTATTATTTGGGATATTTGCTAGTAGTCACTCCGGGTCATTGGGTTGAATAGTTTGGGTTTATTTTATCAATTTATTATGCATAAAAGTGTTATCTGGGTTTCTGCGTCATGCCCCATTTAGTCCATTTGAATTTCCCGCCAAGTTATTCAATCACTTCTGAGATCCCTGGCATCAACTGACTGACACAAAAGAATAAGGGTTCGTACACTAGTCGCAGTAGGAGAGTACAACATGCATTACCTCTATACTCTATAGACCCTATGCCTCATAGCTATAGCTTCATAGATTGTAGCAAACAAAACAGAACTTTTAAAAGTTTTATAACTTTCAAAACTTCTAATTCTAAAAAGCAACTTTTATTAACAACCCTGGTGAACAGACTGAACAGACCCATACTTTTTTTTTCATCAGGCAACAAAGTCTATGGTCGCAACTATGTTGAATAAAAGAGAACACAGTATAGATCTGTTCAGTCTGTTCACTCAATTCGAGTTTAGTGGAACAGTGTAGCGTGTAGCCCCTTTATCAATGTGAACGTTTACAATGAAATAAGCAAAAAATGTCTATGTTAATAGCTCCTTAAACTTTTCAGGTTCGTGTCTTAGGGTGCAGTCCCATGGTAAGAAATAGAGCTCCACGATAGACTGTCCGCAATAAAAACAGCTAATCAGAGCTATTGCTAACGTTTCTATTTCGGAAAGGCAAAGTTTGCTATGGTCCCATGTGCAGGAAAGATCGATGCGTAACCCATGTGGGCCCGTGAGTGCGAGTGAAAGGTTCGAAGTATCTCTTTCTCACTCGCACTCACAGACATGAATGAGTTACGCATCGGTCATTCCTGCACATATGACCATAGCGAACTTTGCCTCTCCGAAATAGAATAACATAACCAACTGATCAACGGTGATTGTTTATTTTTGTTGGTATGTTTTGGAGCTCAGTGTGAAATGTCTGACATTTTGTTTGGGAAGCATCCAATTACAATGCTTGCATTTATAATACTAAAATGAAAACTTAAGTGAACTACATGAAAAATAGGTTATCAAAATTTAAGGCAAAAAGAATACAACTTACGCTTTTACATAATGCTGCATTATTGTTAGGAGCTCCACTCATTTTATTTTAGATTCGTCCCGCAACAGCTCGATCATCCGCAATAGCTCGAACGTCCGCAATAGCTCTGATTGGCTGTTTCTATTGCGGACAGTCTATTGCGGGGCTCTATTTCGTACCATCGGACTGTACCCTTACGTGTATAAAGCCACGGCCACATGGACAGTGTAAAGCGTACCGCGTAACCGTTTAAGCCCATGAGAGTGAGGGAGAGGTTCGCGTATTTTACTTCTCTTTCACTCTCATGGGCTCAAACCGTTATGCAGTACACACTACGCTCTCCATGTAACCGTGGCCTAAGGGTGCAATTACATGGAGGTGGATGGACGACCCGCACGTTCGGGAAAACGATGCGCGGTTATTTTGATTTAAAATACGCAAAGCCCGCCTTGCATGTTGGTATTATTTTTTTAAAATTATTTTAAACAGCTATACGTATTTTTTTTAACTCCTCTACAATCTTTTTATTATTTCCTTCAATATTTTTTTCATGGTATTTGAAACAATTTAAGAAAAATTAATAACAACATGCAAGGCAGGCTGTTCGTATTTCAAATCAAAACCGTGCATCGTTTTCCCGAACTTGCAGGACGTCCATCACTCCATCCGCCATTATGTAATCGCACCCTACGGGTGCCTGTACATGGGTGTCTGAATGTCTTAAGTATAGAGATATAAGGATAGAGTGCGCTAATTATACTAATGTACGTAAGGGGGAGCAA